TTTTGTATGTTATTTCTTCATTTTCAATTGTCTCTACATATTTTTAAATTTCTCTTATAATTTCTTCTTTGACCCACAATGATTGGTTAAAAGTATGTGGTTTTATTTAAACATATTTGTGAATTTTTCAGATTTCCATCTTATAGTTATTTCTAGTTTTATCCATCATGGCAAGAAAAGATACTTTTTATGATTTCAATCTTTTACAAATCTATGAAGTTCTTTTATGGTCTAGCATATGTTCCAATATGGAGACTGTTCCACATGCACTTGAGAAGAATGTGCATTCTACTGTTGTTGGTTGGAGATTATATATATATATATATACGTATAGACACACACACACACATATATCTGCTAGGTCTGGTTGGTTTAGTATACTTTTATGCAAATAACATATTCCTTCTATATTTGTTTGTCAACTGTCCTCTCTACCTGGGAAGTATTTTTGTAAATGTGCTATGCTAATGGGAGTTCTATTCCTTCTGTTTTTCTTTTTTTGGGGGGGTGGGGGGGTGGGGTTGGGGATGTGTAGAGCGATGTACACAAAAACATTCAGGAATATATAATAATTTACACAACCAAAGGGCACATTCTGCAAGCCTGCCTCCAGGTTGCCAGCACTCAGTCCCTCTCTTTCCATGAGTCTAGAGTCCTCAACTGCTCCCTCTCTCAATGTGCTCATCTCTGCCTCCATCTCTGGTATTGCTGCTTGTCTGGATAGGGTCCTGCATTCAGCCTGTGCTCTTCTCCCTTGATGGTCCTAGGGTCCTCTGTTTCTGGATTATAAGATTAACTACTCCCCTGTTTTTGTTACCTTTATAATTGTGACAGTTGCAATAGTCATGATAACAATTACTTACTATTGAATCATAAGAATCTTATCCCCCATATCTTTTAACCAGACCAATTTAGACAAGATGAAAACTATCCAGTGGGACTCTATCTTCCCTCACACACTCTTAAACTAAACTCCCACTTGAAACCTTATAAGCCAGTCACTTTGTGACTTTATTGCCCCCTCATTTTAGGAGCTCTGGTAGCGTAGTGGTTACGAATCGGGCTGCGAATCTTAAGGTCAGTGGTTCGAAACTACCAGCTGCTCCGCGGGAGAAAGATGAGGCTTTCTACTCCCGTAAAGATTTACAGCCTCGGAAACCCTATACAGGGTCGCTATGGGTCGGAACCGACTCGATGGCACATAACAACAACAACAACATTTTAGGTAGCCAATATCTAAGTTGCCCATACTATCTACCCTGTATACAGAGGGGATAGGACTGATATTTGATATCATGCCCTTCTTTGTCTCTTATAACAGATTTTGACCTAATGTTTATTTTGTCTGGTATTAGTATAGCCATTCCAGCTTCCTATTGGTTACTATTTTTTCCATTCTTTCACTTTCAATCTATGTGTCTTCAAGTTTAAGTGAGTCTCTTGTAGTCAGCATATAATTGGATCAGGGGGTTTATTTGTGTGCACATTCACTTTGCCAATGTCTGCCTTTTGACTAGAGACTTTAAACCACTAATTTACTTTTAAAGTAATTGCTAACAAGGATGGACTTACGACATTTTACTATTTTCTGTATGACTTGTAAACCTCTTTTGCCCTCCATTTTCTTCATCACTGCCTTCTTTTGTGTTTAATTTCTTTTTTAATTATAGTGAAGTACTTTGATTCCTTTCTTATTTCTTTTGTGCATATTTTAAAGATATTTTCCTTTGGTTACTATGGAGATTATATTTGATATCATAAATATATATTAATCTACTTTGAATTGATGCCAACGTAACTTCAGTAGTATATGGAAACTCTGTTCCTACATATTCCTATCTCCCACTTTTATGTTTTATTGTCACAAATTATACATTTATACATTATGTGCCCTATAAAATATATTTTAAACTATTTTTTGTGTATTTGTTTTTGAAATCAGACAAAAAAATGAAAGTTTATTTACAAACAAAAATTACAATATTGCTGGCTTTTATATTTGCTCATGCAGTTAGTTCCTTCCACCAGAGATCTTCATTAATTTATAAAGCTTCAAGTTACTGTCTAGTATACTTTCAGTCACTTCCTATCTCATTTCCTTGCTTTTTCTCCTTGATAACCATTATCATGAAATACTATATATTTTGAATACTGTTTTACTCCTTCCTTTAGAATATAATCATCATGAAGGTTGAAATTTCTGTGTTGTATTTTCTGCTTTAATACTTAAAACAGTGCTTGCCAAACAGTGGGTACTCAATAAATACCTGCTTAATGAATTACACTGTAGTTACTATGGAGATTATATTTAACATCATAAAGAAGTAAGTCCTTCCTTATTAGCAATTATTTTTAAAGTAAATGGGTTACATTTTTTAATAAAAAGGCAGTCATTGATAAAATGGATGGAAAAACCACCACCTGAATCAACTACATGCTAACTATAAAAATCCACTTTAAATTCAAAGACACAAATCAATTACATCTGGGCTTTGGTTTACATAGTGTCATTTCCACTGCAAAGAATTTAGTTGTTGTGTTGTTGTAGTTAAGTGCCTTCAAGTAGATTCCAATTTATAGTGACACCATACAGAGTTTCTAAGGAACTCTGGTAGCGCAGTGATTACAAATCGGGCTGCGAACCTCAAGGTCGGCAGTTCAAAACTACCAGTTGTTCTGTGGAAGAAAGATGAGGCTTTCTGCTCCCATAAAGATTTGCAGCCTTCGAAACACTGTGCAGGGTCACTGAGTCAGAACCGACTCCACGATACTTAACAACAACAACAACATACAGAAGTTCTGAGTAGCAGTTGGTGGGTTTGAACTGCCAACCTTGTGGTTTGCAGTCCAGTGCTTATCTTACAGCACCACAACAGGAGTACAAGACTTGAGTAGTTACTTAATATCCATACTTTACAAAGCTTAACATATTTACTATGTTGTTAGCTTCCAAGGAGTTGGTTTCGACTTAAAGTTTGCCAAAACCTGTTTTAGATTCAGACCAGCCAATTACTTGCTAAACATTGCTCCCTGAATATCTTTCAGGAATCTCAAATCCAATCTGCCTCAAACTGAAATTTTCAACAGCTCTCAAAACTTTTGTCTTCTATATTTCTTACATAAATTGACAGTCCTTCATTCAAGGCAAAAATATTGGCTTCAGAAATCTCTCTCTCTCATATCCTCCACTCACAATCACTAAAGCTTGTTGTTTTTGCCTCCCTGACCCTTTTTTTTTCACTGCCCTGACTCACACTAAATTATATCTTGACAAGTATATGGCATGAATCTCTTTCTGCAGTCCATCCTTCATGGTGCAGCTGAGATGGTATCTACTGACTGTAAGTCTGGTAGCGTAGTGGTTATGAGAAGGGCTGTTAACCTCAAGGTCAGAAGTTTGAACCTATCAGCCATTCTATGGGAGAAAGAGGAGGCTTTCTGCTCCTGTAAAGATTTACAGCCTCAGAAACCCTACACTGGGTTGGTATGAGTCAGAACCGACTCCACAGCACACACCCACCACCAGCCACCACTTTGAAGCAATGTTTTCTTATCACCTGCAGGAACAATTCCAAACTCAACCAATAGTCTCTTTAGAACCTGGCCCCTGTCTGCCTTCAATCTCATCCCCAGTTTCCACTATATGTTCCAACAATACCAAACGGCTTAGGGTCTTAGATATCAGGTCTTTGTTTCCACTGCACCATCTCCCTGAAATGTCCTTTTTATATTTCTTTTTTTTTCCACCTGCAGCACATGACATATGACATATGTCTTACTTCTTAAGTGCTCCTATGTGATAAACCCAAGTGCTACGTACATGTCCAATAAGATTACTGTATCAACATGACTGGTGAGGCAGCACTGTACAGTATTTGAACTCTGAGCCAGGCTGCTTGGCTCAAATTCCAGCTCTGCCACTTATTAACTGAATGACAGTCACATTAAAAACAACAAAAACAAACCCACCGCTATCAAATCTATTCCAACTCATAGTAACCATATATAGTAGTTACATAGGGCTCGTCACTTAGTAGATATGTACTACCATTTTCACATTTCATCTGAGAAAAATGATAAGCAGAGAAATTAAGTGTCTCAAAGTTGTGAAGATAATATGGCAGAGAATGCCAGTTGTCTTACAATATCTGTTCTCCTTCTTTGGGTAAAATAACTGAAGTCTCAGTTGGGCACATGGTTGCCTCAAATAAACACTACACTTCTCTGTCTCGTTTATAGCTAGATATGACCATGAAATTAAATGTAAATAAAAGTGTTATATGTGACTTCCAGATCATTCTCTTAAGGTGTATAGGTGTACTCTCCAATTCCTTTTTCTTTCACCCGAGAAGCGGGTGCTTGCCTGACCAGGCAGCTCAGGTAGGACAGGCTCCAGGGAAAAGGGGCGGAATTGCACAAAGGAAACCTCCGTCTAGCAGACAGACAGCCTTTAAGCAAACATAAGATCTTATATTTCAACATTCTGCAATCGTTTTTTTTAAAAAGATCAAATTGCTGAGGAATAATAGGCATTTTGAGCTTTTGCATGCCAGCATGTGGCTCCCACTCCCACACCAGCAAGTGCCTCCGCCCCTGCAGAGCTTGGAGTGCAGGGCTAGAGCAACCCCATTTAGAAGGCTGCATTTCCAGAGGAGAGGAAGCATAAACTAACAAAGCTGAACAAATAGGGATATCAGCATGGATATCAGGAAATTCGGGGTACCCACGGTAGAGACAGAGAGAGGCATTTTTTTACGTCATGAGATAAAGACACCACTTCCCTGCAGCCACTACCCCCTGCCCTTCACTGCCTCAGCCTAGACCAGTCCTCTGCCAAGCCACCTGGGCTCAGGAACGCCCAAGGTACAGGCCCGCCCACTGAGGCCAAGGCCCTCCCAAGACCCAGACACACCCACTGAGGCCAAGGCCTGCCCCGAGGCCCAACCCACCCACAGACTGGTCACAAAGTCCCAGGCCCAACCAAGGCCCAAATCGCCTACCTGCCACACGGCCCAGGCGGCCCACAGCCCGGTCGCCACCAAAGTCCAGAGCCCTCGAGGCCCAACCTACCACACAGCCTGGTGGCCGAGTCCCATGGCCCCTGAGGCCCAACCCGCCCACAGACTGGTCTCAAAGGACCAGGCCCAACCAAGGCCCAAGTCGCCTACCTGCCCCATGGCCCAGGCGGCCCACAGCCCGGTCGCCACCAAGGTTCAGGGCCCCCGAGGCTCAACCCGCTGTGTAACCTGGTCGCCGAGGCCCAGGGCGCCTGAGGCACAACCCGCTGCATATCCCGGTCACCGAGGCCCAGGGCCCCTGAGGCCCAACCGGCCCTCAGCTGGGTCCCCGAGGCACAAGCCCCCCGAGGCCCAAGCCACCCGATGCCCAGCTGCTGATACCCAGGCCCCCTGAGGCCCAAACCGCCAGCCTGAGGCCCAAACCTCCTGCAGCCCAGTCGCTGATGCCCAGGCCCCCAGATGCCCAAATCACTCGCCCTAGGCTCAACCCACACGCCCGAAGCCCAAACGGCCCGCCGCCAAGGCCCAGGCCCAACTGAGGCCCAAATTGCCCACCCGACGCCTATCTCCTGATCATATTACCAATAATTATAATAAAATAAGAATAATCATGCCCAATAAGAAACAATTAACATTATCGAAGCATGTCCAAAAGCAGAAAAGAGCAGCAGATGCAATTGAGCTGGAGACAGACAAAGGCTTCATAGAGGAGGAAGAGCAGGTTCTAGATACGCCTGAGAGGGAATTCAGAAGACTGATATGGAAACAAATTCAAATACTCCAAAAAGGGGTAGAGGAAAATAAGGAAGAAGTAACGAAAGTGCTTCAGGAACAATCTAATAGGATTGACACAACACTGGAAACAATTCAAAACCTGCAAAAAGATGGCCAGGTGATCAAGAACAAAGTATCAGAAATAGACAACAGGCTGAAAGGTGAGAGGAGCAGACTAGAAGAGATAGAAGCCAGAACTAGTGAGCTGGAAGACAAATTTCTCAATACTGCCAAGATAGAACAGCAAACAGCTAAAAGAAAAAAAAACAATCTGAAGAGAGTCTAACATTCATGCTGGATAACATGAAGAGGAATAATGTAAGAATTATTGGCATTCCGGAACAAGAAGAATCAAAGAAATCCACAGAGAAGATAGTTGAGGAGCTTCTGGAAGAAAACTTCCCTAACATCTTGAAAGACTAGAAGATAAATATTCAAGAAACCCTATGTACCCCAGGAAGGATAGACCCCAAAAGAAGTCCCCAAGACATATAATAATCAGACTCTCCAAAATCAAAGACAAGAAAAGAATACTAAAAGTGGCTAGGGAGAAGGGAAGTATAACTTTTAAAGGTAAGTAAATTAGACAAAGTGCTGACTACTCAGAACAAACCATGCAGGCAAGAAGGCAACGGGGAGACATATACAAAACCCTGCAAGAAAAAAACTGTCAACCAAGAATCGTCTATCCAGCAAAACTATCAATCAAATATGATGGTGCAATCAAAACATTTCAGGATAAACAGAATCTGAGGGATTTTATCAAAACCAATCCAGTACTTCAAAACGTCCTAAAGGGAGTTCTGGGGATGGAGAACCAACAAGTACAGACAACAAACAGAGATTGACAGGTGTGGCAACACCACCTGGAACACAGCCAACAGAGAGCAGAATCCAGAACAGAACAAGACTACATCAACAAACACAAGGGCGCCCAGAGATCAAGTGAAGGACATAAACATATCAATGTCAAAGAAGGGACAAACACAGCAACAGAAACCCAGGTGGTGGGGATGCCAGGCAAATTACAGGATGCAATAGAGTATCCTAAATGCAGAGAAAAGTTAGTAGACTACAAGGTAACTCCAAAGAAAGTCAATACTCCACAACTATCATAAAAACAAACCCCCATCGCACCCCCTCCACACACAGATTAGACAGGGATGGGCAACTTGGACATTGGCTACCCAAAATGGAGGGCGGGGGCTTCAAAGGCAAGAAGTGCCTGGCTTACAAGCTTTCAAGAGGGAACCTAGATCCAGAGGGCATGGAGGAAGGTAGATTCTCCAGTGAGTAGTATTCAATCTGACTAGGCGGGGCTGATGCAATGAAATGCAGATGGGTCTCTTGCGATACAATAGTGAATAATTGTTATCAGGACTGACTGTGAGGGTCAGAAAGGTAAAGGTAGATGTTTTATAGGAAGGAGGGGAGTGATTAACTTTTCAGTCTAGGAGCGGAGGTCCCTAGGACC